GACTTAATAAATAACTGTAGTCTGACATGGCCTGGTGTTTAAGGTGCTCGACTCACAAGCTGCAGGTCGCGAGATTGAAATCAATCGCCGCATATGCTCACCTTTTCAACTGTGAGTGAGTAATAATGTGACGATCAATCCTATTATTTGCTTTTTGTTGTAGAGCAACACCACATTGGGCTATCTGCTGTGACCATGACGGGGAGTCGAACCCTGGATTTCAGCATTGTAAGACCGTAGACTTACCGATGGCCACTAGGAGACTCTACTATTCGTTGGTGAAGAGTATCCCAAGAGATGGTGGTGGGTAATACCGTCCAATTGCCTTTTTTTGTGATTAGCAGTTCAAACGTAGAAATAGCAGCAAACAGTCTTAATAGTTTTTGCCATAAAAAAATAAAATTCAACCCTCTATTGTTTTTTTTTTTATTATTATTACAATATTTCCCTCGAAGTCTAGAAAATTTGATACATAATGTCACATCTAGACATTCGGGAAATTTCTAGGCGTCACACATCATCACTACGTCATGCCATAGCGTCCTCTAGCAAACAGTACGAAACGTCTATCTTAGAATATTAAAACATAATTCACAACAATGTCTTGTATCCAAAATCACCACAATATTTAAATACAAGGGTCCAAATTCCCCTCTTAAATCGAGTCCACACCACTATAGCGTTTTGCCTCATTTCGCTTACAAAGGCTACTTGATTTGGACCCCCCCCCGTATTTCACCCCCTTATCTTGTATTGCTTAGATATTTTGATATGTCCTGAAGTACTGTATGAAAGTGTTTAAAAATTGCCGAAACATTCAAAACTGTGGATTTTACTTTATGGTGATTTGGCTATTATTTTTTTTTACTTTTTCGTTAATAGATTCCCCTTTTTTTTTCAGATGTAATACTGTAAAAGGTCAAAACACTCAAACATATTCATAATCTGTATGAAATTATGAAAAAATGCCTTCTTATGGTCACTTATTTGCATATGCAAAAATATATCTTGTAAACAATAGCGCCCTCTACAGCCAAATTGAACGTCTACCATTTTGTTTCTATTGGCCTGAAACTGATGTAAAAAAAAATCGATTTTTTTCTTTTTTTTATATTTCAATGAGATACTACTTGAATATGAACTCTGATACTGACTTTTGGCCACTACTCTTACCAATTGATCTTCATATTACAACTTTTTCTACATATGCATATAACGTCAACTCAACAAAAACCAATCAGTTTTCTTTTTACTTGTCAGTAATTAAACCGAAGTACCAGAAAAAAGTATGTAATGCCGAGCAAAATGGTGTTTGCAAAAAGATGGCCCAACCCTCCAAAATGTAATACCTTAACCCAGTGTTGTCAGACTGACATCCCACGGGATGCATCTGACCCGTCACGTATCCTCCTATGGCCTCCCTCATTAATTTATTCATAACACATAAATCAAGATTATTCTTTAATTCAAATAATAGGAAAAGTAATGAAGTCTTTCCAAAGTAGGTGAAATGTGTTTTTAACATTCACGTTATATGACACCATTTCCTGGAATCTTATAGGTCATTAGTTTGTTTGTTGTCAAGCGCAGAGCTACACAATGGGCTATCTGTGCTATGCCCACCACGGGTATCGAAACCCAGTTCTTAGCGTTATAAACCTTCAGATTTACCGCTGAGCCACTGGGGGGTGGGGGCATAAGCCATTGTGAAAATGATAATGATTACAACTGTAAAGTAAGCTCGCTCAGTTGTGGAACTCAAAAAGGCCTACTGCTTAAGTAAGCTCGCTCAATTGTGGAACTCAAAAAGGCCTACTGCTTTTCCAATTTTACCGCTTTTTTTTTATTGGCCATTATGTTATTTTTACATTTCCACTATTCTGCAAGCACTACATTACACCCACAAACATACAAAAGCCATAACTTTCTTGGAAACAGCTTTCATTTATACAACCTACACACTTTAATTACGTAGAATTCACTTTAAAGTACTTTTTTCCTGGCGGGTGGAGAATTGGTGGTCATTTCTGTTTATTTTCTTCCTTCTTTTCAGTGAACATAAGTAATAAAATGACATTTGAAGCTCGCATAGGCGCCAACTTTTATAACCCAGTGACTGACGCATAACCGCTTGCACAAAGGGCATTAAAAATTGGAATACTGTCCCTTGTGATAAGTGTTTATGGGCTATAACATACCTTAGGTACCTCATATATACATGTTCTGAGTCATGTATTTGCGTTTTTAAAACCTGTGTGTCCAAAGGAAAACGGATTTTGATAACAAAGAAACGAAATTCTTTTCACAAACAAAGAATTGAGCGTGTCTGCCGTCTCCGTCTGTACCAACTAGTGTACAGAGACACTGGCACGTAGGGGCTCAAGATGTAACACAATGGGCAATGTTTTTACTCTTACAAATCCAATGTGATTCAGACTATAGCTTCTATTCACGATATATAATATTCTGAAGCCATTATGTGAAACCTCTTCTA